CCCCAGAGAGTCTGTGTCTGCCCCCTCCCTGGAGATGTTCAAGGCCAGGTTGGATGAGGCCGTGAGCAACCTGGGCTGGTTCAGGGCGTCCCTGCCCATGGCAGGGCTGGATCAGATGGTCTCTGAGGTCCCTTCCAGCCTGAGACATTCCAGGATTCGTTGAGTGCTCCTTCTCTTCCTGCGCTGATTCTGCAGCTCCACCAGCCTTTTCCTGAGGCTCCAGGCAATCCCTGACACAAACCCCAAATGTGTTGTAAAACCCCGTGTGAGTTTTGTGTTCTCTCCGATAACGCTAAGGCTGTTACTTGCTCTTGGTGATGTAGCTGCTCCGTTTCCTCTCCAAGTCTGTTTTTAAGGTATTATCTCCTGATGGTAGAGGTGGTCACTAGATGACTGGTTTTTGTGGGTGCTAAGGAGAAGTAAAATCAGGCTGAAAGGTGTCCCCACTCTGGCAAAAGTCAAAACTAGATTCAAATAATTAGTCCACTGCGTGTTCTGTTCTGCAAAGGTGGAGAAGTGTGTGTGTGTGAAATTGTGGGTTTTTTTACATTTGAGCAGGTCACTGAAGCTCCATCCTCTTTGCAGCGTCTCTGTAAAACGTACCTCAGCTCACGTCCAAACTCCTGTTGCCGTGGGGACATTGAGTGTGGGGTTTTCTGCATTATTCTGATTCATTTTTTCCCTCCTTTTCAGTTTGATTAGCTCTCCCTGTGGTAGTGTTTGAACCATGAAGTGTGTTAATACAGTGTGTTATTGTGCCTTGTTGTTGTACCTGGGAGACTTAATTTTGTTTCTGCTCTTCCACGTGCTACTAAGCTGTTCTCAGCTGAGTCTTGGGAGAAGATGGTGAAGTATTTCTCCATCTTCCTTAGGCATTCAGGCCCCTTCCAGCTGATGCTTCCACCAACTGCAGAAGTTAAATCTAACAGCTTTGTACTATGCACCCCAGAACTACCAGAGATACGTATTCCTAAAATCTCTCAACCTCCTTACTGCTGTTTGTTACAGGCCCAGCTGCGAGCTTTCATCCCAGAGATGCTGAAATATTCCACGGGTCGTGGCAAACCAGGCTGGGGCAAGGAAAGCTGCAAGCCCATCTGGTGGCCTGAGGACATTCCGTGGGCCAACGTTCGCAGTGACGTCCGCACAGAGGAGCAGAAGCAGCGGGTGTGTGTTCCATGTCTGTCTGCCTTCCAGCTGAGTGCAGGGCCTTGCAACCACCTTTTGTAGGAATAGTTTCCCCTCACGTAAGGAAAATGTGATATGAGCCCTTCCTTGACTTCGTGTCAGACATTGAGCCTGGGAGAGCGGTGAGATGAGACCTTCAGTCTGCTCTGTCCCTGCTGGGGTTGTGTGATGGGCAGGTATTTGAACCACATCTTTTTCTGCTGGCTGCAGAACCCCCTCGCCTCCGTGGCCTTGTGAAGCAGCCTACCCAGCCTAAGACAAGTCTAATCTCCAAGTACACAGGTTATTTATCATAGAGTCTGTACCATGGCCCCTTGAAGCCTTTGAAAGGGATACTGTCCCATCCTGAGCAGCAAGGATCTTTGTACTTAAAAGTGGAGCCAGGAAAAAAGGAGAGAACTGCTGTAACCGATACCCAAGACCTTTTCAATGAATCACAGAACTGCAGAATGTGATTCTGTGATTCATTGAAAAGGTCTTCGATTGTCCTTATGGCCGTGGATCCTGCATGCAGATGATGTTTCTACCAACCTGGCCCAAAGATAATCAAAAAGCTGCTGGGTTATGCAAGGGGCAGGACTAGTGCAGGCTGGTGCAGGTCTGGCTGGGTGGGAAGGCTGGAAGGGGCGCTGTGGCACTCGGTGCTTTCCTAAGTAGGAATCGTTTTCTACTTGTTTGCCCAAATCCCTTTGTCAGAATTCTTCAAACGCTGGTGAAACAGATTTCAACAGTGTGACCAGCAGGAGCAGGGAGGGGATTGTCCCCCTGTGCTTGGCACTAGGGAGGACTCACCTTGAGTGTTGGGTCCAGTTTTGGGCACCTCAATCCAAGAGAGATCTCGAGGGGCTGCAGCGAGTGCAGGGGAGGGTGACAGAGCTGGGGAAGGGCCTGGAGGATAAATCTTATGAAGAGCAACTGAAGGAGCTGGGGTTGCTGAGTGTGAGGAAGAGGAGGCTGAGGGGAGACCTCATCACTGCAACTGCCTGACAGGACGGTGTGGAGAGATTGGGGCTGGTCTCTTCTCACGGGTAATGAGCGATAGAACCAGAGGGAACGGCTGCAAACTGCAACAGGGCAGGGGCACACTGGGCAGGAGGAAAGATTTTTTCCCCGAAAGAGAAGAGCGGTCAGAGCTTGGCACCGGCTGCCCAGGGAGGGGGTTGAGTCCCCACCCCTGGAGGTGTTTAAAGGCCGTTGAGATGTGGGGCTGGGGGAGATGGTTTAGGGGTGAGCTGTGCAGAGTAGGGTCAGTGGTTGGACTCGATGATCCCAGGGGGCTTTTCCGTGCTGAATGATTCTGTGATTCACTGAGAAGCTTCCCTTGCCCAGATATGCTCATTCTGTCAATACCCAGCACTGCAGTAACTCTGCAGGGAGATTTCTGAGTCTTGGGGAAAGGAGGGCCTGAGAAGAGGGGGATTAGGTACTGGGGCCTTTTGGTTTTTTGAGAATTGGACAAGAAACACCCAAGAAACCCCAGTAAAGACAAGCATACAAATCGCCACAGTAGCAGCACCTGCAGTGGTTCAGAAAACTTTTTCAAACTGACTCTTGGCAGGTGTCCTGGACCCAAGCGCTGCGGACTATCGTGAAGAACTGCTACAAGCAGCACGGGCGCGAGGACCTGCTCTACGCGTTTGAGGATCAGCAGACGCAGCAGCAGACGACCACCACACACAGTATAGCGCACCTCGTGCCGTCACAGACTGTGGTACAAACCTTCAGTAACCCTGACGGCACCGTGTCCCTCATCCAGGTGAGCAAAACCCTCTGGCTTTTGCATTTGGCACGACTGGCTCAGGATCGAGTTGCCCGTGTCAGGGAAGAGCAAACTCCTTTTGGTAGCTTGACTTGTCCTTCAAGAATTTTGCCTTTATCTGTACATCTTAGCCTGCAGGCTTGTTAACCCGGTGCTCCCACCCAGAGAATCAGTCTCATCCCCTCTCTCTTCTCCATTCCCGCCCCTCGTTCTCCTGTTACGGCATTTCTGCAGCACAAGCATTTCTCCAACTATATGGTCGAGCGATTTGGGAACCTCACCTGGGTTTAACAAACTCATTTACGAACAAATACAGTTCATCATGCGAGGGCAATGGGAGGAGAGGCGCTGGCACTGCCTTTCTTTAATGGAATGAAATCTTATGGCATTAGGTATTTCTGTGCCTGTGTTCTGTGTCTTACACCTCATTTTCCCCTGCACCCCCGCCTCCAAACCACCACTGCCCTCTCGTACCTAACCAGCCCACTGGTTTCTCCCTCTTGAGCATCATGTTTTTAGCAAAATCTCAAACTTAATTTTCTGCTGGCCGGTCTCATCTCACAACCATGAAGATAAAAACATGGTGTGGGGGTTTGTTTTCGTTTTTTTTCAGGAATTGTTACAGCTTTCCATTCCCCCCACCAAGGCCGGGCAGACTGGCCAAGCTGGTTGTGTTTGCTCACCTGCGAACGTACATTTTCCCTTTGACTAGTGTTCTTTCAGGCGCTGGGCACCTGAGATCCCATTGGCTTTCTGGCATTTGTAGGTTTAATTCTCCTTGAAAACAAAGCTGCGCATCTCCCCGCCTTTGTCTTTTCCCAGCTGTTAAACGGGGAAAAGGTAATTTCCAAAGGCAATGGGGTGTTTGAGGACGAGCTCTAATGTTTGCCAAGTGCCTGGAGACCCAGTGAATGGTAAGAAAGGAGCGTTATAAATGAGAGCTGATGCGCAGGGGCTTCTGATCCAGGCTTTTTTAATCTGAGAGCATTTGCATGTCCCTTGGCCTGAATCCCGTGGACGTTTTCCTGCAATAACAGACGTGTTCAGCTGCATTTTGTTGACTTCCACAGGTTGGCACTGGTGCTACGGTTGCCACGCTGGCCGATGCCTCAGAGCTGCCTACCACGGTTACCGTCGCACAAGTCAATTATTCCGCAGTGACTGATGGAGAGGTAAGGGCTTGGGTCGTGTTCCTGACACACAGAGCGGAATCGTCCTGTCTGAACTTCAGTAAAGTTGAATGTTTTCTAGAATTAAGTGATCACAGAAAACACCAGGCCTTGCTCCCCCACCCTGCCGTGTTAACATACATGTGAGCCCGACACCTGACAAAACTTGGTGTAGAAGGTGAATGCTGTCATTTTGACTCGGGGCTGTATAAAGGCAGGTGTGGGAGAAGCCTCAGTTCTGAATTTTGTAATTTTTGAGATATTTTTTCGATGGATTTTTTTCAATAGATTATTTATTTTGTGAGATCCATAGCAGATAAACACATAATGACACTTAAAGATTTAAGTACGCGTTCGTGTATTTGTACTGAATAATTGTTTCGCGTGTGCTGTGGCTCCAGGGTGCTGGGTTGTCCCTTCAGGGTTGGGAATGACACCTGGGGAACTCGGAGCCTGTGGTCAGCAGAGGATGTGGGCAAATCCTGTGAGTCTTTGGCCACTGATCTCTGGACAAAATGGGACTGTTCCTTTGCTGCATCTGTTGGGGAGGTTCACAAGTAAATCCCAGAGAGCTGTATGAATGCAGAGGAGTGTAGAGACAACAGGAGATACTGTGGGATTTCTGTTCCGTTTGCTGTGAAAGTTTCTGCCCCCACTTTGCAATTTGGCAAAGCTGTTTCTGTCGAGGACTCGATCAGGCCATTTCGATTCCTAAATCCAAACACTCCAGTTGGCATACATTTATTTTTCTGCCTTTTTTTTTAACCAAGTAGAAATTTGTTTGTGTGTGTTTAACAAACATTCCTTTAAGATTATGAAGATTTTTTTATATATATATTTTTTTTTTTAACCTCCAAACCCACCCTTAAACCAGGCTGCAGATCGATGTCTGCCCTTCCGTGTGCTAGAATTTCTGGCCGGACAGAATTTCTGCTTGGGAGCAGGGAGGTCTAGTGGCTCGGTGGGTTTTGGGTGACCAGGGCTTTCAGAGCGACAGGTGGCAGCACAGAACAGCTTTGCTTCTCGCCACAGACCCTGATTCCATCTCAGAAAAAGAGCCTGGCTCTGGGACTGTGACCTTGAAATAATTTGCAGCGGCTTGTTGAGCGTTTTCCGGAACCAGTTGTATCGCTTCAGATGCGAAAGAAAATTTTTCAAAGGCACAAATAGAAATTGGGGGAACACGGGCACCTGATTCCTAGCGTGAGCTGAACACCCAAGCGATATGCAAAGATCTGAAAGTAAACTTGTTTTGGGATGCTATTTCTTCTGCGCAGCCTCTCGAGGGACGTTTCTGTCCTGCCCTCTCTCTCTGGGTGAAGTTCCGAGTTAAATTTGAGTAAATCGATGTGTTTCTAGGATGCCGAGCGGGTATCTCAGCGGCACAACCTTCGTGTTGACCTGGAGGAGGGCCTGGGCAGTCCCCCCCATATTTTTTTCTAGACCTTACTCCGTCCCTGTTCTGAAACAACTCAGGCATCTTTGCGGGGCCGTGTACGTCCGAGCGGGGACCTGCCTTACCACTCAAATGTGTGGTGCCCTGTATTTGAAAAAATGTCTGTCTGTTCCCTTTCTGCGTGGTGGTGGGAAGGGTGTCTTTCCCAGCTCGGGTTTGCTTTGTTTCGGTTTTGGCGTGGCTAACGGGTACCACAAACTCGATCCGACTCTCTCTCTCAAGTTCTCTCTCATTTGCAACTTCTTCCTCTCTGGGATCTTAAACTCGGTTGCATCTTTCCTAAAAGCTGTGGCCTTCTGTAAAATCATCTTCCTCTCTCGTTTTTGCAATGCGCTGTCTCACTGCTTCCTCCCTGCTTTGGATCCTTCCGCCCAGGGTCAGCTCTGGGCACAGGAGAACGAAGCCGTTGCCTTGAACGTCAGACGGCTGGGGATTGCTAAAGAGCTACGAGGAGCGCCCGCTTTGCCTGTGCCTAAGGTCTGGAAAACCAAACTGGCAGATCCTGAGGAGTATATGGTAGAAGACGTGAGTGAGAGCGCGACAGGTTCTCTCTTCCTCTCCGTCCTGCGATGGGACTTAACCCTATTCTTGCCCAAAGGCAGCAAAATTTACCCCTTCTCTAGTAGGGAGCCTTGTGCCAGCTCTGCTTCTATGGACTGGCACAGGTTGCCCAGAGAGATTGTGGCTGCTCCATCCCTGGAAGCGTTCAAGGTCAGGTTGGATGGAGCCTTGAGCAGCCTGATCTGGTGGGAGATGTCCCGTGCTGTGCTGGGGGAGGTTGAAACTAGATGAGCTTCGAGGTTGTGGTGGAGTCCTCGTCCCTGGGGGGGTTTAAGGAGAGGCTGGATGTGGCACTTGCTGCCCTGCTCTGGCCCATGGAGGCGTGCTGGGGCACGGTCTGGGTGTGAAGGATGATCTCAGAGGGCTTTGCCAGCCTCAACAATTCTGTGATTCTGTCCCTTCCAACTCACGTCATTCTGTGCTTCTATGACTTCTTAGCTTTCCCCATCTTAACAAATTGCGGGGTTATTATTCATCACCTTCTGCAGCATTCTCATTTGTGAGTCTCAGCAAGATGAAGAGTGGCCTGAAACACGGTGGGACTCGATGATCTTAAAGGTCTCTTCCAATCAATGAGATTCGGTGATTCTGTGATCTCTGGGGCTGAGAACAGTGGTGGGAGGGTTGGGAAAAGATCTTCATCTTGCAAAGCAGCCAGTGGGATTTATCAGTTTCATTCTCTACTTCTTTAATTTTATTTCGGTTTTGATCCAGTGCGTAGTTCTAGTTCACATCCTGGTAATTTTTGTGGTCCTACACTCGTTATCTCATGAGCTGTGAAGTTCCAAATGGAGAAACGTGTGCTAGGTGGATAGTGAGCAACCGAGACTGAATGAACTTTACTTCAGACCTTTATGTATTACGTAGAGGGAGTTGGAAGGACCTGAAATATATGAGCAGAGTACTCCCCACTTGCCATCTTCTTTTATTAAGTATATTGGTAAAGCACAGAAGAAATTCCAGTTGTCTCAAACCCATTTGAGTTCACAAGTGCTGTACAAACAACTCCTGAACAGGAGCACGGACTCTTCCTCAAAATGACAGCGGATGGGCACAGACAAATCGGAACAGGGAGGCAAGAGCAGCCCGTTTCTGGGGGAACGTGATCTGTGCTGGGTTTCCAGCTACTGAAATTAACTGCCCGGGCAGTGACCTGAGGACAGCAACGATCGACACCGACCCGTTTCCTTGCGGTCGTGGCTAGGCAAGAGGGATTTGTGGGAGGTTGAGGGGCTTCGCAGGTGTTCCATAGGGTGCGCTCTCCATGTGCATGAGGAAAGCAAAGTTTGAAGGTTGAACGTATGGAGAAGAGCAATTAAAATCGTGGGCTGACTAGAGAGACTCACTTCTGGCTGGTAGGCGGGTGTAGGGTCCAGCAACGTTCTTGGGTGGATCTCAGGCTTCCTCCCTTTTTTTTCCCCCTGTCTTTCAGAGTCAGAGCATGTGCAGGATTCTGCAACCTCTTGAAATTATCTGGCTCTTTCATGTTAGGAAGCAGCTGTGCATTCATGGAATAATATCCTACCTTAGAGTCTTTTTTTGGCTTTTTTTCTCCATAGGTGGAGCAGAACTGGGCAACGCTACAGGGGGGTGAGATGACTATCCAGACGACGCAGGCATCAGAGGCCACGCAGGCAGTGGCATCATTAGCAGAAGCAGCAGTGGCAGCATCTCAGGAGATGCAACAAGGAGCAACTGTTACCATGGCACTCAACAGGTACGGGTGAGAGATGAAGGCCTGAAGCCAGCGTGCATGACATTCACTTCCAAGTTTTCACTCTAATGGTACGAAGAGCACCGTGCACGGTCACAGCAGAGGCTTTTCCGTAGCAAATTCCTGCCAGCCCGTGTCCAGGTGTCTGCAGGACAGCTCTTGATTTCCTCTGTAACCAGAGAAGAACACTGATGTGGAAATTTCTTGAAAGAGAAAAAGATGGGTAGTAACTGTACCCTTCAAGCGATCTTATTTGAATTGCAAGGGTCCAGTTACAGCGAGTAACAAGCAAGCAAGTCATGATGTGCCAGTGACACCTTTTAAATATGCTCCGTTGCCCTCAACATTACTAATGATTTCTTACTAAAAGGCTAAGGCTGAATTTCCCTGTTGTGTGGCAGTAAAGTCTGTCTTCAGAAATCGGAATCTCCTCCAGAGGCCAGTGTTTTGGGTTTGTTTCCCAGATGTGTTTCTGAAGTAGAAGGTGAACGAGCTGCAATAGTCATGCTGCCTCTTCATCTTGGAACGAGCTCTTGCAGATTTTTGGTTGTACTCGGGTTGCTGAGATCTGCAGTGTAGTTGTCTACAGGTCCATGCAACAGAAAAAGTGTCTTTGCTCAGCTCTGGTGAGCTGTTTAAGCTTTGTCTGCTGTTGTTAAAAACTGGAAATGACTGTGACGCGCTGCAGCTGCGCCTTGAGAGAGTGGGAGGACCGAAGGAAACGCGGCAATACCCCAGCAGCTTGGGAGGTTTCACGCTACTGAGGTGTAGACAAAATATTTCCCTCGCCCAAATCAGGATTCTGGTCTCGAGGCTGTTGACTGAGCAGCCACAGGTTAGGACAAGGCACAAGTCCACGCCGCTGATGGTCGGAGTAAAGCTCCAACACCTTGTTATTTACACGCATTAGTAAAGCAGTGCCCTTGGTCTTTAGGGTATTCAACACCTTACTTCCAAATTGCTGTTGCAACTGAATCACGAGCACGCCTAGAAATGTTTCTTCTCTGTGGTCCAGATTCAGGTCCGTCAGGTGTGTTCTTTTCTGCTTGGTTAAGGAGACTTTTCTTGCTAATGGTTTCACTGTAGCCGCACTATAAAAATTGCCTTTTCAAGACAAGTGAACTTTTCAGGATGCTGTAAGAAAAACTGTTAAAGTAATTAAGCATGGAGTTGCAGGAAGAAGCCTTGCCTCCTGGAATCTGACTTGTAGGATTTGTATCCTGCACGCTTCCAGGCAATGGATTTTTCTATGTATTTTTTTCAGGCATTTTTCTGGACTGGAGCATCAGTGGGCTTTTGATTTTAATTTCTTCCTTTCACTACTAGTTGTAACTTTTAAGGTCACAATGAGCTGTTCCTTTTCCTGCATATCTTAAGAAATTCAGAATCTTTAACAAAAAGAAGTGTTATTAGAAGTAAAGAAGGCCTCCTAGAAAATATGAATGGAAGAGCCTTCAACGAGTCTCAGCTGTGCCTCAAGACAGGATGAGCTCAGTTTTTACCTGGTTTTTACCGGTGGCAAGTTTGTTCAGGCACCTTGTAGTTCAGGAGCAATGTGAAGGCTGTCACGGCTTTGCAGTGAGAATTAGGGGCCTCGTGTTTTATTTCTCAGCTTGTTGTCACCCTCTTTGTCTCCTGACCATGGTAGGGCTGGAGACCTTTCGAGGTGACTGTCCTCCAACACCCTTCCACGTGGAAGAGGTTTACTTTTTCCTTTGTGGAAGAGGTTTACTTTTCCCTTTGTGGGTGTTTCATCCCTGGAAGTGTTCAAGACCAGGCTGGGTGAGGCTTGGAGCAACCTGGGCTGATGGGAGGTGTCCCTGCCCATGTTGAGGGGGTTGGAACGAGATGATCTTTGAGGTCCACTTCGAGCTCAGGCCATTCTATGATTCTACAATCTGCCAAACAACGTGACATGATGGATGACACAACCTCTGTCGTGTTTGAGGATGGGAAGTATTAAACCCTCTAGTAAAAGAGGTTAAAGTGGAGGCAGGTAGTTAATTCATGGATTTGAACCACTTAACGTTTGTGGAGCACACTTTAACTGGGAAAAGGGTTTTATGCCGCAGATCGTTATTATTTTCAGGGATGCCACGATAACAGATTATTAAAAGGCTCGATTACCCTTGAGAGTGGATTCAACTGTGTGAAGTCTGGGGAACAGGGTTACACCAGTAGCTGGATGCCCACCCCTGGCTTGGTGTGTTGTGGTTGGCCTTTCTTCAGTGTAACTGCCTCTGCCTAGCTGCAG